TAGATTGCAGACCATTGCTGGTTAATGATAAGTGCTTAGCAGCGCAATCTACAGGAGGGGATAGAAGAGACGAGACAGAGCACTGAACTTCCAACAATTATCTGCCTCCATGATCTTGCGTGTGGTGCGATCCCTGCTTGTTGCAACAATAATAGTACGCTCTGAAAATATTGGCCGGCAGCCACACGTGCAACTGGTAGTTGTATACAAGAGAAGACCTTCGCAAGAAATAAATTGTTGGCAGTTCAGAGCTCTGTCTTGTCTCTTCAATCCCCTCCTGTCGTTTGCGCTGTTAAGCACCCTTTATCGTGTTATATCAACACGCCCAATTCACTGCCGTTTGATGCTGCTTGTGTGGTGCGCCGTTCCAACGAATTCTTCAACGGCGAGAAACAAGAACGACGAAAACGATATCAATGATATCTGGGGGTTTTACGCGCCGAAACCGCTCCGAAAATTTTCTCAGCTTGCACGTGACGTGAAGGCAGCATAAACAGCGGCGATTAACTTGCTCCACAGTGAGGCCGAAGTCGCTGGAACGTCAATTGTTGGGCATATCCGCACGACAACCAGCACGCGACGCACGCGGATAACACAATCACGTGACATGGCAAAGTGAGCGTCCAACCACGTTTGTGCTCCGACGTGGCTGTTTCAGTGACGTCAGAGCAAGCCATCTGTACGCGAGTTTCTAGCATTTCGTCGAAGTGCGATCGCCGCGGTCGGCATCGGCCCCGCCACGGTGGTCTAGTAGCTAAGGTACTCGGCTGCTGACCCGCAGGTCGCGGGTTCAAATCCCGGCTGTGGCGGCTGCATTTCCGATGGAGGCGGAAATGTTGTAGGCCCGTGTACTCAGATTTGGGTGCACGTTAAAGAACCCCAGGTGCTCAAAATTTCCGGAGCCCTCCACTACGGCGTCTCTCATAATCAAATAGTGGTTTTGAGACGTTAAACCCCACAAATCAATCAATCAATCAGCGGTCGGCATCGATCCTGTGACTTTCGGGTAGGCAGCCGAGTGTCGTAACCACTGTACCACCGAGGAGGCAGCCGTGAGGATAAAGATTGGCGTATCGCCGTAGGCTTGCGTAGGGTTCCCAAAAGGGGGAGGGAGAAGGCAAGTTTGCCCCCACCCCCTCTTCGTCCCCCGTTGGCAGAATCCGAAGTAAAAAGCTCAGCAATGGTGGCAAAAATGAAAACTGCAGCGTCGAGCGTGCGCTTCTCGCAGTGACCTGCCAACATCGGGTGTTCCTTGGTCGCCATTTTCGTCAAAATGCACTCGTAGTCATAACCCTTCGCAATAAATATGTGTAGTGGAAGCAGTGGAGGTCCGACTGCGCAGTGGTGACTACAAAATTGTACCCCTCTCCACCCCCCCTCCCCACTTTTACCCCGCGTCCCACGCCTATGCATATCGATAAAAACCGAAAAGCTCTTCCCAGCGCCTTTTTTTTTTCATTGGTTTTGCAGCGATAATCTATCTTGTGTGTCTTCCCTTGCTTCGAACGCCACGCGTCCATCACACGAACGACATGCTCAGTTGTCATAATTATCTTGACTAAAAAAGAAAGAAAAGATGATAGTGGACGAGTGTCGGCACTTCGAGAAAGGAGACGTACACAGACAGGGTGAAGATTGTTTCTCCTGGGAAAAGGCACCGAGAAGAGGTGCAACTGTTTTTAGTGCGCAATTGAGACACAAGCGCCGCTTCTCGTACATGAAGGCGTAACTTTAAGCGGGTAGACTTAACTAGAAGGAGGTTATCTGATTGGTGGTTAAAGTTAAGGCACGAGTGAAAATTAAACCCTTCACTGCAAAGTACGAATCCTCAAACTCACTTTTTAAAGAAAAAAAAATCTAGTTTTTGGTTCTTTAAGTATTACGGCTTGGTGGCGCTAGCCACCGCCCGATCTAAAGGGTACAGCCATATCCATCCATCCATCCAACAATGACGTCAGTCAGGCCTGGTGTCGCGCTCCGTGACGTATACGCACGTCGCTTGCGACGGTAATTTTATGTCGACGCCTTACATCAGCGTTATCTGCTTGTCGCATAGTCAAAGATAGCGCGCGCATGTCGAGGCAGTTGCGCCGAGCGTAAATTCTTGTTCAGCCGATTCTCGACGCTCAAATGATAACTCTTGTGGGGTTTCACGCCCCAAAGCCGCGACATATGATAAGAGGCGCCGTAGCGGGGGGCTTCGCGAATTTCGATCACCTGGGGGAGTTCTTTTCACGTGCGCCTAAATCTAAGCGCACGCGCCTCTAGAATTTCGCCTTCATCGAAAATGCAGCCGGGATGCACCTTTTTGCACCTTTTTGAAACGATCATTTCCGCGAAAAATGCACCTTTTTGAAACGATCATTTTCCGCTCTGTATGCCATTGAGGAAAAAAAAAAAATCGGGGAAAGCATGGACCTGGTGTACCGCCCCCTGGCTACGCTATCGCCCCACAGCCCCATCTTTACCATCACCCATTCTTCTTGAAGTGATTTCAGCACCCGCTCCGCAATATAGACAGCTCGCATGTAACGTAAATAACACCTCTAGGTGCCTTAGTGGAGCTCCGACATGCCGGCTTTAATGACGTGAAAGTAGGGTAATTTTGCGATGGTTAACACTATTCAAGATCGAGTACAAGGACGTGGCCGCAATGTTTCTTTGTGGTTCAAATAACGAAAGAACCGGCATGTGATAGACTGATAACACAAAAGTGACGTCACCAACTTCGCGTCCCCGTGTCATACGGTGCTCCGACACGACACTTCGTGACGTCATTGAAAGCAACGTATTTCAATTGCTGCTCCAAACTACCAGCGGAATAAAGTCATTAAGACCACTGGAATAGCCAGGATCGAGGAGGGGTGTAATTACCCTCCACCCCCCTATTTTGTTTCGCAGTTTCGTATATACACGCACACATATAAACGTACTCATGGACATATATGTGCATGAGTGTGTTTACAAAATAAAAATAAGGTCCGCGGCATCTCACTAAAACACGAGACAATTTTTTTTCTGCGTATTTGTAAAGTACGAGTTCACAATCGAGAAAACACCCACTCTTAGCGTGGCACGAATCGCAGTAAGTGGAAAAACGAGCGAAAAAAAAATAAATGTGGGCGGAGACGCCATATTGGGAGTTCCACACCAAACGCCGTGACGTCATAGATTTTCAAGGCATCTACCGTGCCCCAGGTAGCTTCTAATCGACAAAAATGCAGTACATTGTCATCTGTGGTTGCCATAGACCTAGCATATGAAGAGAGAGAGAGAAATAAACGTTTATTTAGAAACTGTTCCGAGCGAGGCCCGGTGTCACCCTAAGGTGGGAGGGTTCGCTGCTCCAGGAACCCTCTGGCTGAAAAAAAATCTACACAGGATCAACTGCCATCATATTGATCCATAAAAAAGCAAGGGAATACTAATAAAGCAGGGTCTAAGATAGGGCACACGATCTTCCTAATGCTATTTGCCCTGTTCTTACAGGAGGTTTCTAGAGGCATAAAATGGGAAAAATTAGAAATAAAAGTTGATGGAGAGTACCTTGCTTAGAAATCTGAGCTTTGCCGATCACATTGCATTGCTGAGTAACTGAGGGCACTAATTACAACTTATGACTACTGTATTAGACAAGTTTTAGAAAGTTTGATCGGACCAATGTCGTGAAAATACAAAAATATACATTTTGAAATTTTTGATGCTACGCGCGGAAATGTAGGCGCGAAATTTAAAAATGAAACTTCAACCTTGATTTTTTTTTTCTGCTAATGACAGAGATAGTGACTTATTATGGTGAAACGTATGATGGTGAAACACACGGCATTAGAGTTCTCATAGTGCAGTTTCTCCATCCAAATCAAGTAATTTTTTTTTGTTTTTCGTGTCCCTTTAAGAGATGGAAATTGGCAACAACCGGTTTCTCATTCATTTAGATTCTTTCCTATTTCTCAGAGATAAAGCGTCTTAGTTACCGAAAAATTCGCCCTGGCCTCTGCGCTACGTCTTGGTTGAGTGACTACGAATGAAGGGCAATGGTCCAGGGCTCGATTCCCGGAGCAGGACGTATTTTTCCGGTACTAAGAAACTTTCCTCGAGAGAAATCCACCCGTATTTCCTTTCGATTTCCTAGTGAAAACAGGTGGGTGTCAACTTCCATTTCTTACACACAAGCGGCAGATGATCCCCCCCTCCCCGACCTTTTTGCTTGAAAGAATTTCGAGTTTAGTCCTTGCTTTGGTCTGTCCGGGAATGACACTCGAAAAAAAAATTGCCCGCAGCTTCCCTCGGGGGAACACTGAGGAGGATGCGGACCATATAATTGGTTAACGGGGTGTTAAAGTGCGACTTACTTGGGTCGATGGCTAAATTGGTTAACGTGGTTGTGAAATGGGGTGTTAAATTGCGACTTACTTGGGTCGATGGCTAAATTGGTTAACGTGGTTGTAGGAGGGGGTGTTAAATGAGTGAACACGTACACACGTATGCGAAAGGGCGGCGCTGGTCGAAGGGACGTCGATCATTGTGTTTGTGGATTCGTTGGAATTCATTTCACCGTGACCTTGGACGTCGACGCGCCGTACAAACCAACCGACGAGCGGCAACTGAGCGAGCGAGCGCCGACCTTGAGTATATATACAGCACGACGGCGCATGCACTGTCAGCTGTTGAATGTTCTCGAAGCGCGACGCCACATGCGCGTCCACTGGAGAACGCGGTGTGTAGAGGAGGAAGGGTGCACAGATGGTGGAGGAGTGAAGCGCGCGCGGTGTGTAGAGGAGGAAGGGATGCACAGATGGTGGAAGAGTGGGCGACGGCGCGACGGCGCATGCGCGCGCGTCAGCTGTCGAATGTTCGAGAAGCGGTGCGGACGGCGCACTACAAGGCGCGAGTATAAGATGCTCCGCATCTAAAAAGCCGAAATGATAATCGCACAAGAGTTCGGGAGCACGAAATCGCATCTTACTGCTGACGTAGTGCGAGAGCCGTTGTTCCCGTGCCGTGCCTTCGGTGCGTCCTTTGCCGAGGGCCGCCGCTTCTTCTTCGTCTTCGGCGACGAATGACGAGAGCGCGGCGTTGTCCGACAGGTCGACGCTGAGGCGGGGCAGCTCGGCCCACCTCTGCAGGAGCGCGGCCGGCAGCGTCTCCAGCAGAGGACAGTCCCGAATCCGGAACGTGAAGGGGCCGTGCGGGTGCAGACCTTCGAACGCGTCGGCCGCCACCGAGCGCAGCTTGGCACCGCTCACGCTCAGCTCTTTGATCTGCGCATGCGTCGTGGTAAGCATCTGGGATGCGAGAATAGCTTCATCATCATCATCAGCCTGACTACATCCACTGCAGGACAAAGGCCTCTCCCATGTTCCGCCAGTAATCCGGTCCTGTGCTTGCTGCTGCCAATTTATACCCCCAAACTTCTTAATATCATCTGCCTACCTAACCTTCTGTCTCCCCCTAACCCGCTTCCCTTCTCTGGGAATCCAGTTAGTTACCCTTAATGACCAGCGGTTATCCTGTCTACGCGCTACATGCCCGGCCCATGTCCATTTCCTCTTCTTTATTTCAACTATGATACCCTTAAGCCCCGTTTGTCCCCTAATCCACTCTGCTCTCTTCTTGTCTCTTAAGGTTACACCTACCATTTTTCTTTCCATTGCTCGCTGCGTCGTCCTCAATTTAAGCTGAACCCTCTTTGTAAGTCTCCAGGTTTCTGCTCGGTAGCTAAGTACCGGCAAGATACAGCTGTTATATACCTTCCTCTTGAGGGATAGTGGCAATCTACCTGTCATAATTTGAGAGTGCTTGCCGAATGTGCTCCACCCCATTCTTATTCTTCTAGTTACTTCAATAGAATAGAGAGAATAGCTTAAAGGCACACTAAAGAGAAGTAGCGAATCAGCATGGACTGATGTACTGTACTTATAACTCTGCGGTCGTTGAGATCAAAGCTTCACGTTTACTATAAATCATTTCAGCATGAGAGGAATATAGGTCGCCGTGTTATGCTGCGCGAGAGAGTGCAAAGGCTGACGTCATAGCCTCGGCAGTTCAATTTTAGCGGGCGGGAGATACACGCCCATTCGGCGCAGCCCAGGGTGGAAAAAATGGCGGCGCCCAGGGAGTCGTCCGTGAGAATGTCTACAGTCGGTAGCAAATTGAAAAAAGAAATACAAACTGCACCCGCAAGACTGCGGCGTGTGTCACAATGAGCTAAGAGCCGCGCAAACTACCTTCTATACGAGGCCTAGCGGACAATGAGTCATTTCTAACTAAAATATGACATTTGGCTAAAAGGTCGTCTGGAATCTGAAATTTACCCAGACGTTGATGCTTTTCTACATAAATACAGTGGCACGAACATCTATCTGTTTGTATACTGGTTCGCCAACTATGGGCAGGTGGTTGTTTCAACCACCTGCCCATCACCCTTCGCGACAAATCACCTGTGCAGCGAAAATTAACGTGTTCAAATGTTCTCTTTTCCTGCGTATCCACCCCTTATGTAATACCTCCCAGTGGGATGCTTAAGGAAATAAAATGAATGAATGAATGAATGAATCAAAGACGCTGAAATTGCTTTACGTCAGTGAAGTCACCAAATAAGACTGAATACATGTATACGGTATTTTTCCCCCCTCTACACACTCTCCCATGCTTTCACATCGATCTCACAGTGTTATACCGCACGTGGGGTGCGGCAGTCTTTATGCCAGGGCTCGCAAACAAGCAGTCCACGGATGTTTCGCTATAGCGACGCGTGGCTTTGCGAGGATTAAAGAGTTTTTGACTTTTCTTGCTCAATGGGGCTCGCAATATTTATTGGCTTAGTTTGTTATTGCGATTAATGGGGCTTTGTTCAAGTCAGCTACAGAGACATTTCGTTATGATGATGACGAATGACGTTCTTATTGAGCCCAAACTATATCGGTAAGGCGCGCGGCCATCACATGGGATGGTTCTCCATACCTTACGGGACCCATGTGTTCCCAGCTGCTCCTGACCACTGTCCCCTGTGCCTCATGCTTTTCGTGATCCGCCATATGCGGTCATCATGTGTTGGAACACAATAGTGGAACGAAATTTCTACATTTCAGAATTTGCGTGTACATTTTGAGTCGTTCTGGTGTTCAGTATCGATATGTCAGTCGAATGCTAACGACGCTAAGTACGCTGCAGAAATAATCTCTACCTGAGCTCTGGGTAATGCGTTCTTTGAAATGTCGAGGGTTAACGCTTTGGTACCCACCTCCTCCACCCCTCTTTTCGTTTCAACCTTCTTCACTGTCGTCGGCTTTTATGGATCGGAGATTCGCGTGTGCGACCCGCTAGCTGAGGTGATTTTTGAGACCTGTGCTTTATTGGCAACACACCGACGCCGACGAACACGATTGTTTGGCTTGGAGTGTCCGTAGATTCGATTCAATGTTACTGGGGGAAACATTCTTAAAGAGGCTTTCAATAAAATTCGATTTAATTTCATTGTTTCCTATATTCTCTTTTTGGTAGCCTCCTATTATGTACTTGTCACTGGAACATCAGTTCCGCTGCAGAGAGATTCTTCATCGAATAAGGACGGTTTTGATCATCAATCTCTAAACTCATAAAATTAATTTCTTTTACCTTTTTTGTAATTACACATACAGTCAATAGGTGATCCCTTCTATTTAGCTATTCGTTTCGTGACCATTCTCCCAGGGTGAGTGTGAGCAATTATTAAAGAACCAAAGCTAGTCAAAATCTTGTTGATTTAGCAATGGTACAGACACACACGGCGAGCTTGTTTACCGAAAGTGAGGCTTCACTGCCATGGCCGTACATATCATTGATAGTCTAACAAGCCGGTTGCGTTCTCTCACCTTCTTGCTGAAGGCCCACTGAATTTGGTAGGAGAGGGTCGCCTCGTCCACTTGCACCGCCAGCCTTTGAAGAGCCTTGGCCTGGAACAGCATCTCCTGGAGTCTAAAGGCCCTCGCACTCGAGTACGTGTTCGTCCTGACACTGCGTAGGCACCTGTGACGTTTCGAGGTTGACGAAGAAACGGAGTCGTTATAAGTTTTAAGTTAAACGGCAATAATGGAGGTGAATTCCTTATAGGAATGATAACTTCGCGGTGATCGGCAAAAGGCAGTGAATATACCATAGATGTAGTAAGAGTTGATTTCACCATCTTAGTTGCAGCGTTAACTCTCATAGGTCAAGTTGTCAAGAAAGAACATATTGAACACGTTATGATTTATACCAGCCTAAGAAATACGTGAGAAGAAAAAGTAAATAAGAAGGTGAAAGTTTCTTCGGCAAAGCTTACCTGAGCGGTTCCAGTGTGCGAGCATCCAGAAATACCAGCTTGAGACCCGTAATGTCGAGGTCACGGAGCGCATGGAGCAGCTTGAAGCTTCCACTGCCGAGCTCTCTGACGGGATTCCTCGAGACATCTAGGCTACGCAGGTCACTCACGTGCACCCACAGCGCGGGGTCTATGTTCTGAACGTGGTTCGACGACAGGTCGAGCTTTCGGAGCCTGCCCAAATTTGCGAACGTTGTCTCCGACACGTTCGCGATCGCGTTTGAGCTGAGCGAGAGTTCAACGAGATTCGGCGCGTTCACATCCGGCACAGATGTCAGGTTGCAATCGTCGAGAGACATTACAGTTACGGGTAGGTCCAGAGACCCGGGTTCCACACGGAGCAACGGATTTCGAGACACGTCCAAGAGCACAAGGCGGCTGAGATTCGCGAAAACCTGGCCCGGTAGGATCAGTATCTCGTTGGAGGACAGGTTCAGGTGCTCGAGGTTCGAAATGTGGTCGAACTCGGTCGCTGCGATCAACTTTATTCGGTTGTGCGACAGGTCCAAGCTTGTCAGGGTGGCTCTAGCGGGCGCGAACGCCTTGGTGAAGGGCCTGGACAGCGAGTTTCGCGACAAAGAGACCTGCACTAGGGGCGTCTCTTCGAAGGCGTCTTCCGGGAGCACCGCGACGCTGTTGTCGTCGAGGTCCAAGACCTGAAGCCGAGCCATCCTCGAGAAGGCCTCTTCGTGGAGGGACGATAGCCGATTGTGGCTAAGAAGGAGCACGTGGATCTGGGAGGACGCCTGAAAGGACCTGGGCGAGAGTCTAGCGATGCGATTGTGACTCAGGTCGAGGAATTTGACGCGCGGTAGCTCGGACGCCATTTCGACCGACATGGTTGACAGGAAGTTGTGGGACAAGTCGAGAGACGTCAAGCTGTGTCGCGTCGTCCAGAAAAAGTGGCGGGCCACGCTTTCGATAATGTTGTGGCTGAGGTCCAGGGAAGTCACGTTTAGGATGACGTCCTCAGCTCCGCCACGCAGCTTGAGGCGACTTATTTGGTTATGTGAAAGGTTGAGTCTCAGTGAATTGGGAGTGTTACGGTTGACGATAAACTGCACGTTGAAATCTGACAACATATTGAAACTTAGGTCGATATCCCTGAGTTGAGGAAGGTCGGTCAACGCTCCCGAGTCCATCGCCGAAATCCTGTTGCGACACAAGTGCAACTTCCTGAGGTTTGGCAAGTTATTGAACGTCTTTGTTTCGAGGTGAGTGACTTCGTTCACGGACAAGTCAATGCCTTGCAGGCGCGTTAGATCGCTGAACGTGCCTGGTTGTATCCACTTGATTCGGTTCGATCAATCTTCACCGCAGTCAAATTTTGCTGAACGCTGCCGTTGAGAGAGTCTTTCGGAATGTATCGCCAATCATTCTGCATCAAATTCACCGATATAAGCTCACTCATTTGGTTCAATGTGGTCGGTTGTAAAGCAGGTAGCCCAGCGTAAATAGCATCGAGGCTGTGAATCCTTTGGCATGATTGAAGAAAGCTGTTCAATGTGTCTGATTCGAGCCGTGTCCCGGATACATCGATGACTTTTAAGTGCGGACATCCCTTGGGGAACCAATCTGAGTTTATCGTCGTTATAGGATTGTACGCGAGGCTTAGGCTTTCCAACTTAGAAAGCGCTTCGAAGGCATGTTGTTCGATGTGTGATATCCTGTTCCCGCTGAGATCCAAAGACAGAAGTCCGTCTAGACCGTGCTTGAAGTCTCTATTTTCTATGGACGTCAAACCGTTGTCGGCCATGTTCAACAGCTGAAGTCGCGACAGGAATTTGAGCGCGACGTGAGGGATCGCATCGAAATCGTTGCTCGATATGTCGAGCACGCGTAAGCTGACTCTGCACGAAAAGAGATCATACTCGTCCAACTCAGAGATCTGGTTGTCGCGCAGGTTCAAAATCTTGAGTCTTCGGAGCTTTGCGATGGCACGGGGAAATCCGCTGACCTTGTTGTGCGCCAAGTCCAAGTGGACGATGACGTCGTCCAGTCCTTGAAAGAGTGCTTCGGGCAAGGACTCGAGATGGTTCACTGAGAAGGAAACGTGTCTTGGAGCCAATTTCCTGAACAGGTTCGGCGGCAGGTAGCGGAGGTAGTTATCGGCTACTATAAATGGCGCACTGTGACTCTCTTCTTCCTCTGGAACAATCGCTGGGGCAGCTGGGAGATTGCGTTTCGAGCTAGGTTCAACGTGTCCAGGTGATCCGTTGGGAGGGTCCAGTTGGGATCCAGGCGCTGTATCGCGTTGTCTCCCAGGAGCAAGTAAGAAAGGTTCCTGAGTTCGTCTAGTACGCTTCCTGGAACCTGTTCCAAGAGGTTCCCAGTCAAATTGAGCCTCACTAAAGATGGCGGGAAAGGGCGGCCTTCGATCTTGAGGATGTCGTTGTTGTCCAGGTCTAGTATAGTCAGGTTGCCGAATGCCGAGAAAGTGACGTCACGGACTGAGGTAATGCAGTTGCCGGAAAGATGGAGGCTCCTGAGGCTGAGGAGTTTGCGCGCCAGTTGCGTCAGTTCCGCCGCGTCCAGTTCGCCGATGCTATTGAACCTCAGGTCCAGTCGCTGAAGGCGAGTAAGCGTGAGCAGTGTTCCAACCGGAAATTCCGTCAATCGGTTTCGGCTCAGATCTAGGTTAGTCAAGTTTGGCACGTTCGCGAACGCGCTGTGTTCGATCCTGCTCAGCCGGTTATCGTTTAGTTGGAGGGATGTGACCTCGCTGGGACGCAGAGAGGAGGCGTTCTTGAGTACGCTCAGTGACGCGCAACCTTCGATGGTGACGTGAGAGTAACCGCTCGTTTCCGGAAGTGTCGTCAAGGGGACTGCCCGGCAGTACGCTCTCGAACGGTCGCGGACGCAGCTACACAGGGCGTGAAAGTCGCACGGTTCGGCACTGCCTCCGAGATCTGGAGATGTGTCACCATGCTGCCAAGCTATGGCGTTCGCGCCAAGGAGGTACAGCAGTAGCGGAATGACTCTGGAACAAACAGAAAGGCCACAAATCGAGTTCATTAAAACGATATTTTAATGACTCAGTAATTATTGAGGGGGACTTAAGTGTATATGAGCCTAACGAAACAGAACAGGTGACCATGGGCGCCAACGCGAGCGATGGAAAGAAATATGTGATGAATTCAGCCTATGACGTCACCAGGAAGACACAGATCGTTAGACGTCACTTGGTCAATAGGACGTCTATACCATAATAACATAGCATAAAGAGACACTGTGACGTCGCATAAGAGAGTATCTCATGCGATGGCGTCATCGCGTGCGTCATCACATGACATCATCGCTTGGTGATTAGTGGGCTGATTCCGAAGGCACGTGAGGTGCAGACATCTTGCAGTGCTTCCGATTCCGAGGCAGTGCAAGACCGTGCTAGGTCCAGGACACCAACAAAAGATCAACGCAAAAAGTCGGACGTTCCGGAGCCCTCCTTACAGCGTCTCTCACAATCACTGTCGTCGTACAGCTTTTATCATGTTACTCAAGTGCCAAAGAAGCTTGAGTGAAAGGAAGAATTCTACACTTCAGGGCTAGCCTTCTTGACACAATATTAATGAGACCTAACCGACAATCAAGCCAAGGAAAGTGTAGGGCATGTTATATGAGGTAATTGTAATGTAAATGGGAAGAAAGAAAAGTGGATGAAAAGATAACTGGCCGTGGGCAAGAAGCGAACCTGCGACCTTCGAATAACGCGTCCGATGCTTTACCAACTGAGCTAGCATGACGGCTATTACTTAAGGTGGTACATAAAAAGAGCCCTCGCTGGGTTTTTGGTTAGCTTTTTTTCTCACCTAGCAAATTATTTGTAAGGTGCAGAACACCATGTCAACAGATCGCATCCTTTGAAATGACAGAATTTCGGTATGTATATTCTATTCAATACAATAAACGTTATTTTGTGACATTGAACAAGGTGGGGGGAAACCCCGTAAAATGTATACATATTCGCGTTATATACCTACGTTTATTAAGCCCGACATATACGAGATGTTTTGTGTTTCATTCAATAATAATCAAATATAATGAAAAGTTTATTAACCTTACTTCCCGCACTCCGATATGCAGAAAAAGAGACCGAACGATATACTATATTGCAAAACTACCTCCACTATGCGGTGGCACTTTTCACTGCTACTAAAACCGTCGCCTGCTGAAAACAAACTCACCTGAGCAGTGGACGACGCTGCCATTGATGCGCGGAGTTGTGCATCCTTAACTGAGGAGTCAAGAACAAGCGAAGGCCTACACGAAATCCTCACGATCTTTACGCGTGTCCCAACAGACACATCACGAAAACCCAAGGCCTCCTTCGCCCGCACACGCGGCGCTCAAACGACCACCACGGTCCACTCCTTGTCTTCAGCTTAACGATAGCTTCAGGTCTCTTAACCGAGGTGAGTGTATTTTGTGCTTTCATCTTGCCGAACGCAGATGCAACCTGTAAAGTCAAGCCAAACAAACACGTTGTTCACCCACGGCTGCGTAGCTTACGAATGCAAACCTGCATTCACCGTGCACTGAAGGGCTTTCGAGCGGTGCTCCATTTTTTTTTTTCGTTTCACGTGATGTCCTCCGCAGCTCTCAGTCCACCACGGAACCGGTGCAATGCCGCAGACTCCACCGCACACGTGTCTCGGATCGGTGAAACATGGTCAAATGGAAACGCTGTGGTTTTGGAGACGTCATCTCTTCGTCGGGAGTCGTCGCATTGGCACGATGAAGAGTTCCAAGAAACACACACACACACAGAGAGAGAAAGAAACGAAACGAGAAAAGGGAGGAGGAGACGGGCCGTTTTATTTCGGGTATCGCCACGGGGTCCGGCACAGTCGGAGAGCCTGTTTTGCCTGTTTTTGCTTTGAAAGTATAAACTAGGATTATGCTCGCGAGGGTAGGGGCGGAGAGGGAGAGTGCTTCGCTGCAGTTCGCTCCGCCGCAGTCTGGGCTCTCTGTTACTATTCCTGACCGTGTGCGTAATGAAACATAGGAGAAGACTACGCGATGCCCCTCTTCATCTGTTGTCACTTCATTGGAGATGCTACGTGTCACCGCAGAGAGAAAGTAGGTGCGTGCATATGTGCTCGCACAAAAACGAAAGGTATGCAGGAGCCAGCCCGATTCATTGACAATATGTGGAGAGATATGCTAAGTCAGCCCCATACATTGACATCATACAGGGGGTGGGGCGGCTGCGACGTATCTTCACCCCCCCCTCTTCCCCTGCCACTGAAGTTAAACCCTGTGCACGCTTGTGTGTGGGTGGGCTGTGTCGGACCCTATACGCCATGCGCGACACTTAATTAGAATAAAAATGATACAATGAATTTGAATTTATTATCGGGCCTTATCCGGAAAGACCAGTGGCGGAGACTCTGCCGGTGACGGAGGGCCACGAAAACGAGCTACGGTTGCTCGAAATAGCTTGAGTATAATGGTAGCAAACTATGGCTACCTGCGTTCAAGACGCCATAAAGGAGGTCGCATCTAAAGTCAAAGCAGCCTAAAGATCGACAGGATGTCTGTCGGTCTCTCTACATGATATATTTTTTTACCCATGCATAATCCGTCATAGCATGTGACAGACGACAAGCAAAGAACTTGATTTGGTCCTGAGAAGAAGAACGGTGCCATGTCAGGGTGTACAGTCTGCGGCCTGTACCTGGAATGGAACTGGGAGGTTAAGACTCTCGGAGACGTGGCGGACCCTCTGCAGAGTCCCGAGCTGCTGTTCCTTGGCGGAGCTGGTGAGGAGCCGCAGCCAGGGTTCCTCCTTAGAGGGAGACACTGAGATCCCCTCTAAGTCGGGACAGCCTGCTACGCAGCTTGTGGAGGCAAAACAGCTCGTAACCGCTAACGCTGTAAATAGATACTGTCACTCTGCTAAAGCGGTGGTTCTGCAGTGTCGTGCAAGGTAGCAAGCATACATGGTTTCTGATTACGCGGTCCACAGGGATCCCCCCCCCCCCAAAAAAAATGATACCGGGGTAATTCCAGGAACAAAATGTCATTTATTTACCGCTTGTAACTCTCAACCAAGTCGCGAGTATGAACAGTAAAAAGCAAGGTGTCACACACAGGCAGAAAATAACAGAGAAAAAGGAAGCAGTTTAAAGGGGAACTCCGGTGTTTTTTTTTTAATATTCACCGATTGCAATAAAACTTTGAACATGTGTTCACGTTGGTACCGTGGTGATACGTGCCAAATTATACAACCATATATTTATTAGTTTTTTTTTAAATCAAATTTTAAAATTGGTAGCCGATTCTGGAATCACACTTGTAAACGTGGGCCACCCTGTGTATATGACGTCAGGGCCTACTCTTTTTTTCAAAAACCCCGCCCTTTCCAGCAGACGGATGCAGCGCACGCTTTCTTCTACGAGGTGACGACTACGCGAGCACAGTTCAGTTTTGTCAGCTCCATACAGTGTGTTTGTTGTTGTTGTCGTCGGGTCTTACAATATTGAGCAGCGAGCGAATTGATTCGCGGCACGTCGGATGCTTCAGGCGCCGGAGAGTCGAAATAATAAAAAAAAAAATGCTTCCGCGCTCAGATAGTTGCTTCAATCATCCCTGAACTTGTCTCTGGTAAGTTCAGACGAGTGGCGCAGCTTGATTCCGCGTCGAAAGACATCGCACACTAGCTTTTCGCGCATCAGAAGATCGAGGCACGTCAGCCATGTTTACACCCTGGCCAGCCGTGGCGGGGCGTAGCGGATCTCGTGACGTGATCGGCAATGGATTCTCGTGACGTCATCGGATACCCACCATGAACGACAGAGCCACTTTCTGTTTCGGTTTCTGTTTCGACTCGTTTTTTTTTTTTGCTTAATTAAAATTATTGACGAGTGTCTGGGCAAAATGAACCACCCTAGCTTTTTCAGGACTGTCAATACTATTAGAAAACAGCATTATCTCAGTATGGATGAAAATGCACCGGAATTCTCCTTTTAACCAAACTTCTCGGCCCGGAAAATGGCACTGCGAACACAGAGGCGCATTTCGCCGTTTATTCGTTTACCGAGTTGAATAGGGGCGCCATCTACCCGCGCAGCACAATGGCGGATATAGATGCCGTAATCCAAGATGAAGTACTAATACAACTTCATTTTCAAGAGCGCCAAACAAAAACTTCTCGCTACCAGCTTCAGAGGGCGCGACACCCAAGAACAGGTGCACGTCAAAAACGGCGAACGGCGTTCATCCTCATCTTTTTCATTGAAGGTTTTGTTCTTGCGGCGTTGGTTGCACTGTATAAAACCTATAGGAACATGAAATAGTAATAAAAAACAAACGTAAAGCTGCAATAAATATCGGAATTATCGATCCATCAATTATCGACGCGCTGAAAACATATCGAGTGCGTCGTTCAACGAAAATTCGCAAAAGCTGCACAAATGTTCTCGCCCAAGGTTCAGTTCAAGTCGGCACGTTTCTGGTGACGACACACTGTGGCCGAAAGGCGGAAGACGTTATAAAATGTCCGCAACAAGAACACATGCAAGTTGCGATGAGGAGGTTCGACGTCATTAGCTGTTCTTGATGTCGAAGTCGTCGCTGACGTCGAACATGTTCGCAATGGCCTCCTGCTCGTTTTCGGCCCGCTGCGCCAGCAGGTAGAGGCAGCAGCCGAAGGACAGGAACACCACGATCAGCACCATCATGACGACCGACAGCCACAGGAACATGGCGAAGTTGGTCCGCACCTTGGGCCGCCTGATCGCTGCGCGTTACAAAAGCCAGGTAGCATATCATATAGTTCAATACATTACAGCAGTGGGGTGGGAAAGAGAAATGAGAGTTGGGACGAATGATGGAATGGTGAAGAAGAAGGATAATACAGGAGAGGGCAAAGCATAACATAGACTTGTATCGTATAACGTGCCGAGGCGATGGTAAAGCGAAGGTACTTGGCGAGGGATGTTGTGGGGGAGAGGACGTGGGAAAGAATAGAAAGTAAAACGAAATACGTAGAAAAGGGTAAAGGAAAAAAAATCGCAGCACATCCACGAGTGAATGATGATGAGTGGGGCGAAGCGTTCGTACGGATGGACGGACAGAGGCATGGACGGGTGGACGGAAGCACTGACGAATGCATGGATCGACGCACGCATGGATGGATGGACAGACGGATGCACAGACGGACGGACGCATGGATGGATGGAAATAGGGGTGAACAGGGAGAACATAACTAACGCAAGGGCAGACTCGCGGAAGCATGGACGGGTGGAAGGACGCGCGGACGGACAGATGAACGGAAGTATGAACGGACAGAAAGTTGGACGTACAGACAGCTCCTTCAACGAAGCAAGCTCCTTCATCATTATTCACTTCGCGGATATGTCGTATTTTTTTTTTAGCGTATAAAGGACTCTATTCTACTGTGTCGGTGCCTCCTGTTTGAGTTTTAGCGGCGCAACCTTACTGACACGTTCTTCCCGGAGCTTAGCAGTAGTGATGCAGCTGGACCTGACGTAGCGCACAATGTTCTTGCACTTTAGCGGCATGGCTGCTAGTTCGTCATTGCTTTTTAGTCTGTCCTGAACGGTGAGGTGAGCAGTGAGCAACTGCATGATGAGTTTGTGCAGTTGGTTTCATACTATTGACAATGCTATTGAAATTGCAGTCGATAGTGTACTATCAATATTACCTTTGATGGTGTGATTGTGACTTGACCATTCCATAGTATCGGTAATGCTATCTTTAGTTCTGCATCGCTACTGTGTACTCAAACTCCTCGTTCGCTCGCTATGCACGAAGAGTGCAATCATGCGTCCGCATGAAATGAACTACACCTCAGATACAGAGGAGTCACGTTGTGCCGTTTAGCCCGAACTTACCGGCGCACTGCAAGTTCTGCAGCTCCGTGCCTTTGGGACACTTGCAAATGTTCTCGTCGCATATCTCGCCGGTGTAACACTGGGTCTCGTCCATACAGACGCGGTCCACGACTTCCGTATCTACGCATGTTAGCATAACAAAAAAAAAACATGAAAGTGGGCAGGTACAAGAATGTCCACGTATCAATTACGGTGAACCTAGTGAAAACATCGGAGTGCCTATATACATTAATATTAGGTGATCCGGCTTGGAGATCACACTGCCGGAAGTACCATATGGTCACACATGCTGGTCGTTGGAGTTATTACCCAAGTGACCGGTTGCCAGGTCGACTGGCAAAAGTGAAACTACCCAGAAATCGGGCACGTT